GGCATTCCAGGCCCCGGGAGCCCAGGGGCGTCCCCCCAGCCCGGGGGGGCATGTCCCCATTACGGGGTGTATCCTCATCCCGGGGGGCGTCCCCAGCCCAGGGGGAGATCCCCCACCCCAAGAGGGGGTCCCCAGCCGGAGGTTATCCCCAGCCCATGGGGTGTTCCCATCCCCAGAGGTGTTCCCAGCCCATGGGGGTGTCCCCAGCTCTAGGGATGTCTCCAGCCCCGGGAGGTGTCCCCATCCCCAGGGGTGTTCCCAGCCCATGGGGGTGTCCCCAGCTCTAGGGATGTCTCCAGCCCCGGGAGGTGTCCCCATCCCCAGGGGTGTTCCCAGCCCATGGGGGTGACCTGAGCCCCACAGTGTCCCCAGCCCCAGGGGTGTATCCCCAGCCTAGGATGTATCCCCAGCCCGGGGAGTGTCCCTAGCCCATGGGTGGGTGGGTGTCCCAGCAGCTCTCACCTGATTCAGGCTGTCTCACCTGGCTGACAGCTCGACTGAAGGCCTCACGAATGAGAACAGCTTAGACCTTGATGAGATACGGATACAGATCCGTGAGACCAACGAGGTGAAAACATCTTGTGAGGAAGGACTATAAAAAGAGAACATTTAGCCTGTATCTGTGAGAATAACAGATAAACATCTTGTGAGAAAGGAAGAAGATGCTTATGAAAAGAGAATGTTTTGGGATAGTTAGTAAGGGCAGGTGTATGCAGCTCTTAACCAATAAATTAAGCATTACCACATCACTGACCAATAGGTAATTAACAAGGTGTGTGAAAAGCAGTATAAAAGAGGCACTGTAGAGATGGCGGGGGATTTTAGAAATAAAGTTTTGCTGTCATCACAGATCCTGTGTCTTGACCGTCTCTACATACATAGCAATGTCTGCAACATTGTTCCACCTTCTGCATCTCTTCCCAAAGTTTTTCCTTTTAATTTATGTTATATTTCCTATTTTTTGCCCCCTCCATAAGGTGGTGAGAGCGAAGATGCTGTTGTCACAGAAGCCAATGCGGTATGGCCACACAGAGGGACACACTGATGTCTGCTTTGATGACACTGGGAGGTAACAGTTCCATTCCTGGGGGACCATAATCTGGGGGAGGAATGGGCTTGTTCCTGTCTGATGCTTTCCCAGGAACTGGGTATTAGGAAAAATTTCCTTGTTGAAAGGGTGGTCAAGTATTGGCACAGCTGCCCAAGGCAGTGCTGGAGTCACTGTCCCTGGAGGGGTTTAACAGCCATGTGGATGTGGTACTTGGGGACATGGTTAGTGATGACCTTGGCAGTGCTGGGGAATGGTTGGACTCGATGGTCTTAAAGGGCTTTTCCAGCCTTAGTGGTTCTATGAGTTTCTGTACCAGCCACAAAAATGCATGAGAGATTTATGTCCTCGCTTGGTCCAGGAAATCCTTTGGGTTTTGCCTGTGTTGAGAATTGGCTGTGTGACATATTTAGATTCTCTGATTTTAGAAGCAATTGACTTAGAACTGAGATGTAAGCATATATATATATATATATCTCCATATATATATTTAGTGTGTGTTATATATATAAAAACTCTATGTAAGAGTGACTTCATAGAACCTAGCAGTAATCAATGTAGTGTGTGGGCAAATATGTTTATGCATACACTAAGAAATTAAAAATATAGTTCAATGAACCTGCTATTGGGCTTGGTGTCTTGTGTTGGTTCTTGAATGTATGCACATAGACTAAATATTTACTGTAGCCTTTTACTGACTAAAAGTAAAAGGTAAATCAGATGAAAAGCAAGAAACAAGCCCTCTCAAAGTGAACTCAAGGGGTAAGCCTTCTATATTGAGTATGGTTTAAGTCTGTATTCTCTTATTTTGTTCATTAGCCTTGCTACAAGCACTCTCTTAAGACTTGGTCTAGTAACAAGCCCTTGAAACTGCAGCAAGCCTCATTTGTCATTACAACCAAACATATTAAAAAGGATGCAGACATCTTTCCCAAATCCCTCTGGTCCACCTCTGCTGGAATCCCCAGCACTAATATATTCAGTACCAACACAGCATTGTGTTGGTGTCCAGGGACAGACCTTACAGAACTAACAGGTGCAACATCAGAGCTTCACCACTGGCTCTGAAATGAAACATTCTAATGAAACATTCTGTGTTTCATTAGAATTTTTTTGGATTGCAAGCAGTATTAGACAAAAAGAATTCAAGGCTTGATTATAGATTCACAATATCTTTAATTAAAAACCCCATGCAAACTTCTGATATTTGCTCTGTGACTTCTTTGCTGCATTAAAATTGTGGAAGTTAACTCCAGCAAACTCTAGTTCTATACTATTTTTAAGGGTTCTGTAGGCCCAGGCCTACATGTTAAGTTTGTAACTTCAGTCAACCCCTTATCACTCATAGTTTTGCCCTCAGCTTTGTAATGAACTGTAAGGTAAATTTTCAAAGGCTTAAGAAGCAATTAATGCTCAATTCTTAGACTAATCAGTGCTAATTAAGTCCTTGGAAAAAATTCACTCTAGGTCCTGTAAAAATGGATTGAGCAGTGATATTTAAGGGTCAGTTCAGATGAGTCCCAGACCTGAGTGGTTTTCAGAGACTCAAGATATTGTGTTATACCAGATGTGTCTTTTTCCCCCACATGTCTAATAAGTTACTTAGACATAATAAATGTGCTACTTAGACATAAATTCACTGTGTGATGTGGTATTTATTGTGTTTCAGATTAAAACCCCCCTAACACTTTAGTAACAGTTTCCATTCAGGGACTTAAAGTCAGTGTCTGTGCTTTCCATTCCCCAATGTTAACAAATTCCTCTGTTTTTCCACAGCTGCATTGTAACTTGTGGCAGTGATGGAGATGTTAGGATTTGGGCAAACCTGGATGATGATGATCCAAAGTCCATTAATGTGGGAGATAAGGCCTACTCCTGTGCTCTAAAGGTATGGTTGGCAACACAGCTCCTCACACTTGTGGGTTTTCCTACACATTGTGGACTTTCCAGCTCAGGGATGCTGCTTCTGTGGGTAACACTAAATAAGAATAGTTCTGACAGCTCCTCTTAACCCATGCAGGATTGTAGAGGAATTATTCCTTATACTAAACTTCTGTAATGGTATTTTCCTTCCTTTCTTTCACATTCACTTGTATCAATTTCTGACTTTGATCTCTTCTGAGAAACAAGCTCAGCAGATGAAGTGTGCTGGTTTCTGCTGGGATGGAGTTAATTTTTCCTCAGTGCTGTGTTTGGGTTCAGAGGGAGAATAATATTGATAGCACACTGATGTTTTGCTTTCTGCTGAATTGTGTTTCTCTTAAATCAAGAACATTTTCTTTCTTGTGTCTCATGCTCTGCCAGTGAGAAGGTACACAAGAAAAACTGGGAGAGAGCATAGCTGGGACAGGTGACCTGAGCTGGCCAAAGGCATATTCCACACCATAGAGCATCATGCCCAGTATATAAATGGGAAGGGGGAGCTGATCCAGGGGGAGGAATGGGGTTGGATCAGTCCATGGGTGCTGAGCAATTGTTTTGGGCATCACTAGTCTTGTTTTGTTGGGTTTTGGTTTTTCTTTCACTTTCTTTTTATTATCCATTAGTATTTTATCTTATTCTGTTCTCAATTATTCAACTGTTCTTATCTCAACCTATATATATTTATTTTCTCCTCCCCATTCCTCCTGCGAGCAGGGACTGTGAGTGACTGCTGGTTCTTGGCTGCTGCCTGGGGTTAAACCATGGCATTAAGCTAATTATGCAGTGAACCTTTTAGGCTGTTCCAGTGTTTTCTCACAATGTGAGTGGCAAAAAGTTTCCCAGCATAAGATACAATCATCAGGTATTAGGGAGAAAGCCAAGAGGTTGTTTTTTTGTGTGCCTGTGTTAAAGCCCAAGGAATTATAATCTGTACTAATCAAAAATTGCTTTCAAAAAGTAAGTATTAAGTAATGCTTTGGTAACACTTTCTTATAATTGGTTGATGTTTCTCTCTCAAAATTGTTGTTTGACCCAAACTGTCCCCAAAGTCAGAGGAGAATTTATGTCATAGAAAACAATTGTTTTATTTTTACTGTGTATGTTCGTGTATTAACTTGGGAATTCTCACAGTATTTCCTTTCTGTACCATTATATATACATATATACATATACATATATATACATATATATATACACATATATATATCTAAAACACATTAATAATGGCAGGGCTAAAAGATGTTTCTCTCTCAAAATTGTTGTTTGGCCCAAACTGTCCCCAAAGTCAGAGGAGAACTTATGTCATAGAAAACAATTGTTTTATTTTTACTATGTATGTTCATGGGAATTCTTGGGAATTCTCACAGTATTTCCTTTCTATACCATTTTATACATATATAACATTAATAATGGCAGGTCTAATATGTTGTCTTTGTGGCAGTTCTAGAAGAAGAGAAGAATTCCAGAAGTCTACATCAGTTCTCCAAATATTGTGTAGTTAACTTGGCAGTGCTAAAGGGAAATTTAAAACTTTGGTTTTCAACCTCTTGTGATTTTGGAGAGGTGTATGAAGGAGGAAATAAAGGAGTATTATCATATATGTATTAAGTGGAATGTTCATGTCATATATGGTATCATCTATGTAGTGGGAGGTTCTCTGCCCATGGCAGAGGTTGGAACTAGATGATCTTTAAGGTCCATCCTAACCCAAAACATTCTATGTTTTAAAAATAAGCCTTTGAAACCTTATTGTTTACTACTGCCTCAAATGAAACCTCTTTCTTATATCACTTTTAACATACCTCATGAATCTATTCCTCAATACCTGTATAATCTGTTTTCATTGTTGATTTTTAGGGTATTTTGGTGTAGATTTTCATCATGTCACTTATCCTTTCACAAACCAAGTGAGGTGACTTGAACAGGTTCTCTTAACAAATCAGTGGCAGAGCCAGAAATTGTTAAAACTATTAAGGAATAGATGAGGGAAAACCCTGGGTTTAACATTAGTGGGGAAAATGGTAAAAGTGCTTTGAGAGATTCTTATTTTTAAACAGTGAGATTAAGAACACTTTGTGAGACCTTCAGGAAATCTTGTTTCAAAAATTAGTCTTTATTAATGAAGTATCATGAGGGTCTGGTCTGAGATGTTGATGTAAATTAGGTAATAAATCCTGTATCTTATTTAGTTAGGTCATTTACTACTGCCTGCTGCTTTCTTTACCTTCAGGAGTTTTACTGTAACTTTAGGCAACCTAAATAAAACAACCCCAACCAGAACACAGAAAAAAAAGAAGGAAACAAGTAGTTTATTTATATATATTTCAAAGTGTTACTGCTATATACAACTGAGGAAAAATATTGTCACTGGAAGAAGAGATACTCTTTTCCAAGTCTGGGATAATTATTTCTTTTGGGTTGCAATTTTTAGTCTGGATTCATTTTTCGTAAACATCTGCCTTGTGTTTTCTGCAAAGAACTGAGCTATAGTTCATGAACTTCTCATCTTTCCCTGGTGGCATTTAGCTGGGAATTCCAGTCCAAGGGTGCCCTCTCCTGATGCTGCAGAATAGTAATCTAAGCAGGATGCAAGTTAGTTTGGTTAAAATGATAAAATACTAAAGTTACTGTGCTTGTCTGTATTTTTCATGGAAGAAATAAAGAGAATTTCCCCTTCTGCTTTTGCTGTCCGACCCTTTTGGAGCTAATCAAGTTAATCTGCCCAGATATGTTGAGCATCAGAGCTATATTTTTGGCTCTGTGGCATAAATGCGTTTTAACTAACGATAGGTTTTGTTTTCAGAATGGAAAACTGATCACAGCAGTCTCCAACAACACTGTGCAGGTACACACATTTCCCGAGGGAGATCCGGATGGAATCCTTACTCGTTTCACCATGCACGTGAACCACGTCACCTTTAACAATGATGGTACCAAAGTAGCTGCTGGATCCAGGTAATCTGGGCATGACAAGGAAAAGCATTGCTGCTGTTCAGGATCTGGCAACTTCCTCACATGCTGATTTTTACCAATGAGATCATTAATGGTCATATCACGTAATCCACATAACTCTGAGGGATTTAAAGCATTGCAAAATGCCTTCTGGGGCTGGAGGGGAAGAAAGGAATGAAAAGGACTTTAGGAAACAATGCTCTGAGAGATACTTGATCCACCAAATAGTTTTAAATAGAAATCTGCTATTGTGAAACAATAATTTCTTTTCTTTAGTAGACTTGAGTGTTTCCAGCTCTCAGCCCTATGATGCCTAAGTGTCAGTGTTCACCCACATGGATCTCATCACAGCATTGAGGATTTTGTGAGCTAAGGATAGTGTCCTGTCTGCTCAGGATCATGGTGCTGCAGATCTGTACACACATATAAAAGTTCTGATTTGTGCAAGAGCTTTGAGTCATCCTCTGGCACAAGCATCACTGATCTGCCAAATGATAACAGATGATGGTTGCAAGACTTGCCCAAGGGGAATTTAACGTGTAGTTTAGTCCTTTTCTTAGGGCAGCATGTTAGTTTTTACATAAAATACTCTAGTCCTTTCACAGAGATGGCAAAATAGCCATCAGGCAATGCTTTTTTGTGGGTTTTTAAAAATATTTAAGGCTCAGATGATTCTTAATTGGGTATGGTGAACTCTTTGGGCAGCCACAGCTAACTTGGGCTGTCTGCTTGCCTCTCTTCTGGAATATGTCCTGTACAGTGGAGATGAGTGTTGTATCTGCTCCCTGGCTCCTCCAAGTGTGAATTGAACCAGAAATCAATGTGAATGAATGTGCTGGACTGTGAACTCTGGCAACTGTGGAGCAGTCAACACCAGCTCCACCAAAACTGTGAGATTGGGTGGCTGCTGGCAGTAACCACCCCAATCTCCAAATCTGACAGGGATCATGGGTTTGGGCCCTTTGCCAGTGCTGGTTTCTGGGGGAACAGCTCTGCCGCAGGATCTGACTTCCATTAGAGAGATTAGGCAGACAGCAAACTCTTTGCTGTTTCTAAAACTTTGACAGAAACCCAGGACTTCTGCAGCCTGGCTGGGCTCTCACATCTTTAGGAAAGATTGCTCCTCAGACTGTGAGGACACCCCTCAATGAGGTCTAAAGGAGAAGGTGACAGCCATGAAGTGAAGGAAGGCAGCTAAGTTTAGATGTCCCAGATAACTCCATGGTTTTTTTTAATATCATAGGTATCAGTTTTGTATAAAATTAACACCCAACTGACTGCCAAAGTTCACATGAACTATTTGAAAAGAGTTAACAGTGATGGTTAACCCTATAGAATTAGGTCCTAAAATGACATTTCTCTCTAAGGGTGTTGCAGTGAAGAATGAGAGGGAGTGGTACTGAAAGTTTGTCACAGGAAATCTGCCTTGGGAGTTAGGATTGATATTTTGAGTTAAACTGCTGTAATTTTGGAGGAGGGAATAAAGTTGAAAGAATTCTCTAATGTATCACCAAATGGCCTTAAAAATACTGTTAAAATATCACAAAATAAACTACTTGCTCTATCTTCTTTTAAAAGCCACATGAGCAAATAATTACAGTAGTGAATGTTGGTCCCATGCAGCAGACAGTTAAGTTCAGCTCTCTGGTGTCTAAGCAGAGGTTTTTATTAGGTCATGTAGAATATTCTATTAAACAGCTACATGGTCTGTGTGTACATAATATCCTCTTCAAAAAACAGCCTTATTTTATGAACTTTGACATGACCACAAATGATTTTCTGATAAAAATACTCCTCCCTTACTCCCATTGTATTAAGCCTCAATATTGTCCTTTTCCATTCTATCATATAGTGTTGAGAGCTGTAACTCCCCCAGAAGATATTTAATGCCCGATTTTTATTGCCTTAAACACACAGTTTGTAATTTTTAACACCCATGGTAATATTTTTATGTCTATATCATTGTGATCTGCAGTGACTTTATGATCAAAGTTGTGGAGGTGAGTGACAGCAGCAAGCAGAAAACGTTCCGAGGACACGAGGCTCCTGTTTTGAGCCTGTCTTTTGACCCCCAGGGTGTTTACCTGGTAATTATACCTTTCTGCTTTACTTTCCACTTTGAATCTCTTCCTTTTCCACAGGAGAGAAAATAAATATATGCTTTTTACAAAAAAAATCCCAACCAACCAGTGACTGGGCACATGATACAACTTCATTCCAGCTGACCTTGCTGATGGAGTGTATCACAGGTTGTTGCCTCCCAGGAGAACTCAGTCTCAATTCTCTGCCTTGTTCTTCTGCAATCTAATGCTGATCTGATTTAGAGGGGACAAGATGGCTCTCTGAAGAAATTTAATATTAATTTTGAGCCACTTTTGCAAATAAATAGCTCACTTAAAGCATGAGGGTTTGTAATTACAGCAGCTTGGAGTTGAGTACAGTTATCAAGATGACAGTGTTAGAAAGTTTTAAGCTTAAAATGCTTTGAACAGGGAGGTTTTCTTAAAACTGCTGATATGTCATGTCTGTAGCATTGGTTATGGGGATTTTTTTCCACTCTGTAGCATTAATTTCTTTGTCCATGTCTCTAATTATTAATTTGTTTACCAAATTCTCTTATCTAGGCATCGGCAAGCTGTGATGGTTCTGTCAGAGTCTGGAAGATTGCAGATCAGGTAAAGGCCTGCCTGTCCATGTGAAGTGTTTCCTGAGGAATCCAGGATTTCACAGACAGCAAGAAGAGCTGGACTGAAATAACCCTCCCGGAATAGGGTTTCCTTTTTGGGGAAGAAACCTAACTACACTTCACAGAACACTTCTGTCTACTTCTGGGAGAAATTCCAAAGCCTGATTATGAAATGTTGCCTGGGTAGCTGTGGATTGTTCTTCCTGTCTGTGAAATCCCTGAGTTCTTCCCTTCATCTCTCCTAATCGGCCAACATTGTGCATTTTGTCCTTGGCACATTCAGAAATAACACTTCTGTGTAAATATAGCACTGGCATCAGATTCCTCATTTCAGGATTTCAGCTCGTTGCTTTCAGGATTAAGGAAGAGTTTTTATGGTTATAAACAGATTTTTAATTGTAATAATCAGATGTAGCCTCTGCTCTTGGAACTCTAAGGAACTTGAAAAGAGAGTTTCAGGTCAAGGCTTTAATAAGGCAATTCTACATATGGATATGGGATTAGTTTTGCTAAATACCATTGACTGGAAAGAGAATCCATGTGGAATTACTCCTGTAAGCACAATTGAGAATATACCCTTCCACATACTTGTGGATTACTACTTTTTTTGAGACAAAAGCATAGTTGTAGTGTGAAACCTCACCTTGCAGGCTGACAGTGTCCTAGTGGCAGGTTGGTGTCTGGATGTGTGCTGTGATTTGGGGTTACAGCCATCCATCCTTTACGCTGCTGTGGCCACGTTCAGGCTGCTGTGTGTCACCTTGCTGCACCTGATCTGAGTTTGACAAATGCTTTTTGGCCACATTTCTTTACAGCCTAAAAATAGGTGATCTCATTTGTTCTGTGCTTGGTTAAAAATATGTGTTCTGTGATCTTATTTCTGTTACAAGTAGTTTTATGGTCATTAAAATAGTTTCAGGGCTACACTGACAAAGTACTCTTTAAGGTAATATGTAGCATTGTATTTGGATGAAAGAGATCATTTCAGTTCCAAAAACTATGTCTGTTGTCCTGTTATTTTTTCCCAACCTTTTCCATTAAGAATTTGTATTACACCGAAGGTTTTCACTGAGCTAGAAAGCTGATTTGTTTAATATTTTGTTTTCAGACAATCACAACAAGCTGGCTGCTGCTGCAGAAGTGTAATGATGTGATAAATGCTAAATCAATCTGCAGGCTTGGCTGGCAACCTGGCACTGGGAAGGTAAATGACATTGCTTTATCACATCTTCATCCTTCTTTTCTCTCAGAGTCCAACATAATTCAATCTGAGTGAGCCCAAATTGCACCTCCTGGGACTAAGAGAAGTATTTGGGGTGAAGGTCCCTTTCAGGAAAAATAAGAACCTGGGAATGGTTGCTTGTTTAAGCTCCAGACTGTGTTTGGCAGTAGTCCAGCTGTCAGCCCAAAGCAGCATTAAACAGTCATGTTGTGCTGAAGAGGAAGGAACATTGTACACGAGGGAAGTAATCAAATTGCTCACAACAGAGCATCAAAGGAGCTCTGTCTTTCTCTGCTTTAAGTAATTCTTGCCCTATCAGTAATCTTGCTCTGTAAATATTTCCTTAGTAAGGTCCCTTTCTTTTCACCTGAAGAATGAAGTTGATGATGTGTCTGTCTACCTGTGTCTACTTTTAGCTGAGCTCCTTTGATGCCCTCCACAGCTCCCTGACAGCAGGTTGGAGCCAGGTGTCTCCACAGCTCCCTGACAGCAGGCTGGAGCCAGGTGGGAGTCAGTGTCTTCTCCCAAGTAACAAGGACAAGAGGAAACAGCCTCAATTTGTGCCAGGGGAGGTTTAGATTGGATATTAGGAAAACCTTCTTCACCCAAAGGGTTGTCCAGCGTTGGAACAGGCTGTCCAGGACAGTGGTGGAGTCACCATCCCTGCAGGGATTTAAAAGCCATGTGGATGTGGCACTTGAAGACATGGTTAGTGGTGTAGATGGCAGTGTTAGGTTAATGTTTGGACTTGATGATCTTAAAGGGCTTTTCCAACCTAAATGATGCCATGATTCTTCAAAACACCTGACTGCTATGATAGTATTGTATATAAATTTTCCATGGAAGAGCAAATGTCACCTGCAGTACAAATTTCTTCAATACCCATATTGCAGAAAACCAAATACTTTTAGTTTTTAGGTTCATTCTTCACACACCACACACACACACTTGGAATGTAAGGGGTTGTCTTGCTTCTCTTACAAAGCAAATGGTTAGAATCCTAACAAAAATAAACCCTATAAAAATAAGCAGCCAGTAACATTTATGTAGTTCTGTGAAAGCTGAAATGAGCTGTTTCAAGAATTGCCTGTTCAAATAAGATTTATTGAGAAATTGTAACCTGATCAAAAGGAGTTTTGGAAGGGAGGGAAAAAGCTAACACAAGTCTTGTGCTCAGAGCATGGGAAATTATATGTGTGTGTGTGTGTGTGTGTGTGTGTGTGAGCTGTTTGATAAATAAGGACTTCTAAGCTTACGGTGCATTTTTCTGCCAGAAGGAAACGAAGATTAAAATAAAACCAGGCATGTTTTGCCCTGTTGCATGTGGAAAGCATTAAAGAACCTCGTAATCCAAGTCACTCCAGCTGGCATTGCTGGGATGGTAGGGAGCTGTTCAATACTGAGGCAGTCACCACTGTGAGGCTTCTGAATGAAGGAGCTGTGCTACTTGAATGTTCTGTTTGACAGGGAACTTGTTCTGAATTGTTTAATATTCTTCTTTTGAGCAGCTGCTGGCAGTTCCTGTAGAGAACGTTGTCAAACTCTACAGAAGAGAAACCTGGGAGACTAAATTTGACCTATCAGATACCTCCATCAAACAGGTAGGTGCATAAACCAAGGGCTTGTTAAGTATCACATATGTTCTTCTGGACAATATCTCCCTCTTCCCTACCTCTTCCTCTTGGTCATGATTGTTCACCTTTTCTATTTCATTCCTGATCCTGCTCCTTTCTGTGGGAAAACAAGGTAGAGACACGAAATGATGTCAAACGTCTTCGTGTGGCTCTGATTCCCCTCTTACATTTATAGTAACCCACTAAGTCTCTAAAGTCTAGTGGTGAGTCATCAGCTACAGCTGAAAAACATCTGTTTTCACAAACTGCTCTAAATGCAGAGCTTTTCAGGAAGAATGTCAAGAGTTTTAGCTCTGTACTGAACAGAGATGGCAGTGGTTCACTTTATATTTTATTAAGCTGAAATTTAGCTATATAGTACTCCTAACTGTGTCCTCTGCTTTCTTTTGGCCTCATTAGATACTGGGAAATGTCTGGGTTAAAGAGGACCAACTTCCTGGTGTTACTAATACACAACACACAGTCTTGGATTTGAGTTTATGGACATGTATTAACTTCAAAATAAGTGAAGCTACATTTAGTGCTGAGTTTGCAAAATCCACTCTGCTGCTGTCTGCATGTCTAGAATGGGGTTTAGTGTCACATGGCAGTGTTTATTGACAGAAAGTGGATATTTTAAAACAACAATAGGTGTACTACATTGAAATAATGTTTTTTCAAAAGAAATCATGTTTATCATAGTTTTTAAAGCAAGAGAACTACCTAAGCCCAGCTCTGGTACAGGAGGTATGGTTTGCTAAAGATGATTGTCATTTGTTATTCCAGAATATCTGTGTGTTTTAAGCATCAGAAATGCTGTGCATGCATTGCTAATTTGTAGTACTTTCACTATTTTTTTTTCCTTAGCCCCTGAATGTTGTGGCTTGGTCTCCTTGTGGGCAGTATCTGGCAGCTGGAAGTGTGGCTGGAAGTATAGTGGTGTGGAATGTGGAAACCCAGGAGTGCATAGAGAGGTATTCAGTGTTGTTCCATAACTCCCCAAGGACATGTTTGGGGTGTTTTATTTTGCTCTTGAAACAGAATTTTGTTGTCCTTTCTGTTAAACCTTTTTTTGTTCAACTGCAGAACTTTGCCTCTTAGAAAACCTTAATAAGATTTACAGTGTGTCATGGTTTAACCCTGGAGGCAGCTCAGGGAAGGGACATGAATGTGGATTCTGTTCAAATTCTACAGTCTGGTTTTCTGTGTGCAGATATTGATTAAGGGATGGTTTTTATTCTCTTCACATCATAAATCCCAAGAGCACTGGCATTTTATTACTTTTTAATCTAATAGTTGATTAAGGGATGGTTTTTATTCTCCTCACATCATAAATCCCAAGAGCACTGGCAGTGAGATGTATTTTCTGAAGGGAGAGGGGAGTACAGATAAGTCACTCAGCCATCCTCACCTGTGGGCAAAAAAAGGACAAACTGACAAACTGCACTTTGCTTGGTTGGTTAAAGCTTTCAAAAAAACCCTAAAAAACCCAATTAAAAGAGGAGAGATGATTAAGTGAGGTAGAGGAGACGAGAAGGGATGATTTGTCTGTGTGAATACTTTGGGTAAGAAACATGATTGTTACTGTAACTATGTTAAGAATTAAAGACAGATTATGTGAATAATTAATGGGATGATTTTTTGTGAGGATAAAGGGTGGAAAAGACAGGATTAACCCATCAGTTTGGTACAACAGAAACAGCTAATGTTCTCTTTATAACTGAATGATTCTGGAAAATACGAGTGCTGGGGAATACTTGGTCTTTCCTACATGTATCAAGAAGCTCTTGTTTCTGATTATGATTGTGTTTGATTTTTAAAGCTTAAATGATTTTCTCCATAGAAAAGGAAGTCCTGCTGTATCTATTTATAGCAGCTGTTTATTCTAAAGGTGACCCTTTAATGATTTTATTATGTGTAACATCACTTTCTTGTAGCAGTAAATATTCCCACATTTTATAATTACTCTCCTGGGGAGGTTTCTGCCCTGAGAAGCTTACTGAAAATCCATTGGTTTTATGTCCTTTCAGGATGAAGCATGAGAAAAGTTACACTATTTGTGGACTGGCCTGGCACCCTAAACATAAGCAAATTGCTTACACAGATACTGAAGGAAATCTGGGATTGTTGGAGAATGTTGGTGATGGAAAGAAGCCAAATGACAAGGTGCTCAATACCAATTATTGCTTCAACTAATGTGGTTGTCAGGTTATATTGAACATTCTGTTTTGTGTGTTCCAAGTTCCCTCTTATCTGTTGACTCAGTTCCTAAACATTTCTTTGGACATGGAGTTCATGTGCATGGCTAATCTGGTTTTAGGCCACCAGTGCAGTGACCAAGGACTACAACGATCTCTTTGATGGGGAAGATGATGACTATTTAAATGGAGACATGATTGAACCACAGTCTTCTCCAAGGGCTGGAGCTAATGAAGATGATGATGACCCAATGCCAACTTCAGGCCATCTGAGACGAGCAATATTTGATGATGATGATGATGATGATAACAACTCACTAGGTACAGAATGAACTAATTTTCCAGAGCTCTTTAGTGCTGTTATTGGGTCAATCTCGTAGCATCCTCTGCTCAGATATATTCTGCTTTATTTTCCCAGGGAAATACTGACTGCTTTAAATTTTTTAACCTATATCCAATCATAATAATATGTGTAAGATGTTGGTTTTTTTCAACTTCTAGATATTGGGTTGATAAAAGCTAGTTCCACTGTTCTTGAAAAGGAGGATGATGGGGATGATCCCACTGGTGGCTTTCCAGCTTTGCCACCATCATCTATACAACAGCCTTTCTATGATGGGCCAATGCCAACCCCCAGGCAAAAGCCCTTCCAGTCTGGCTCCACTCCTGCACATCTCATGCATCGATTCATGGTAAATCTGTGTAGAAGTAGTTGATTCATTTGTGTTCATTTATAATGAATATTGTCCAGTTCGTGTTGTGTTTTAATCTAATCTTATCCAGGATTTTTTGTTTATTTTTAAAGACTTTACAGTGTGAAGCTAAATAATGGAAAGTAGCTTTGTGTTAATGCAAAGACTCCATAATGTTATGGTTTATGTTCCAGTTGCTTTAGAAATAATCACTTGGTTTTAAGACAAAGTCTAGCTGTGCAGTTTGTCCTTGTGCTGTTGAATTCTAGCAAATCCGGTTTAAAAATTCTTTTTTGGCCAGAACCTGTGGATGTTTTTGTGCTGAAGACTTGTATGTTAATCATCTACTATTTCTTTCTATCTGCAAGTTCTTCACACTTTTAATTTTGTAAGGAGAAAGATGGCTAAGCAATGAGGATGAAACTAGTTACTGTTGGTTTAGGAACCACCAGTCCTGATTACACAAGTCTTCAATCTTCCTCCCATCTCCCACCTGCTCTTGTTTCAGATCAGCAGTTGCAGCAGGCTGAGTTGGGGCAGTTGTGCTTGATTTGTTGATTTTTTGGGGCGTGTTTGGTCCTTTTTACTAGGTATGGAATTCTGTTGGCATCATTCGCTGTTACAATGATGAGCAAGACAATGCCATAGACATAGAGTTCCATGATACCTCCATCCATCATGCAACTCACCTGCCAAACTCTCTGAATCACACCATGGCTGACCTCTCCACTGAAGCTGTTTTGTTGGCCTGTGAGAGCACAGAGGAACTTGCAAGGTAAGTCATGGCCTTGCTCAGCAAAACCTTTAACATGGAGCTACATTGAACTTATCTCAAGTGTTTGGCCTTTCATTTTCAGCTTCTGTCACTTTTTTGGAGCTCTTTGACTTTTGACCATGCATTTTATTTCTGGGGCCACTTTTGAGGAGGGTTTTCACATCCACCTACTTGAAGGTTTCAAGACTGTTGAAAAATGTAATTTGTTTCCTGATGATTTCTTTTAATCCCTTTTTCAAATATATACACACTGGAAGTTTCACCCACTGCAGGCTCAAAGGGAACTGTAAACGTGAACAATAGTTTTTCAGTCTGCTCAGATCAAAGATCAATCATAAGGGTTCAGCTGTTTCTTTTCACACTGTTGCTAAGGAGACATGTTTGGAGATACCCAAAGAATTATAAGTGTGAAGAACACAAGTTTATGAAAACCACAGGAAGATTTAAGCAGCTGGGCCAGGTAGACTCTGGTTTTGCTTTTATTAATAGTGCCAACAATATTTTATTGCTGGTTTCTGTGGTAATATCTTGAAGAAAGACCTTTATTTTCACACACAGAGCATTGTGCTAAGTTGAAAAGTTTACCTTTACCTTTAAAAATATTATTTTTATGTGTTGATTGTCTGACTTTGAAAGTGTCAGGGTTTTTTCTCAATAAAAATGGGTAACCTCTTAAAAGCCACAGTGTCTGTGAATTGGTCCCAGGCAGTTTTCAGTTATTAAGATGGTAGAAATGAAGTTCCTACTATTTTTTCTCCTGGCAAACTTGTGGTGAGGTTTGATATTCAGGGGTACCAAGCACCTTCAGTTCTTATTAATGTTAATTAGCAGGACACTTACCTGCTTCCATCTAAAAAATCTCCCCTTAGACCTTTTAATTGTCTCTGTTTCAGGCCTTAGGGGCTCTAAATCTACAGTGCTGGAGCTCAAGTTGGCTCTTCAGTTCCTGAATAACAGCAGCAACACCTTTGCAAATGATCACTTGTAATCTGTAGTTCCTTTCTGTGATCATCACAGACTGCAGATCTCTGATAAAAGCCTAATATATTGGTGTATTTTCAGATGCTGCCTTTTTCTTGCTGTTGAGATATTTGTCTGTTGTTTGTCTCTGCTTTAGCAAACTCCACTGCATTCATTTTGGCTCATGGGATGCCAACAAGGAGTGGACTGTGGACATGCTGAAGGATGAAGACATTGAGGCTATCTGTCTAGGTCAAGGCTGGGCTGCTTGTGCCACCAGTGCCTTGCTAGTTCGTGTGTTCACAGTTGGAGGAGTTCAGAAAGAGATCTTCAGTCTCCCAGGCCCAGTGGTGTCCATGGCAGGACATGGAGAGCAGCTGATGGTTATTTATCACAGAGGTAGTTTTCTCCCTTTTGTTGTCTTTGAACTGGGATTGTTTTCAAACCCTACTGACTTCACACACTGGTTAATTTGTATGTAATCACCAGAAAGTGTTTTCTCCTTCTTCTCCTCTGGATATGATGCTTTAACAAGCACATCCATCACAACCCACAGATCTGTGACTCCTGACAGCAAAGCTTCCATTTTCTGTTGGGATGCTGAGATTAGCCTGTGGGGAAGGGGGAGAGTTTTATAACAGTGACATTAATAGATTAAACTTGGGTTTCAGATATGCCAGAATGAATTACTAGGGGAAATTAAGGAAGTAGTTGTTATGCATGGCTTGTGTGTCCAAAATGACAAATAGTTGCTTGGCTGACAGTGGTATCCATGGATAACTCTGCATTAGAATTAGTTTTTGTTTCAGAACTTAAATTTAGCCAAGAGACAAGACAATTCTTTATTTTCTAACATAGTCACTGAACAACTTCTCTCTAGGTACTGGATTTGATGGGGACCAGTGCCTTGGGGTACAGCTAATGGAGCTAGGAAAGAAGAAGAAACAGATTTTACATGGAGACCCTCTTTCTCTAACAAGGAAATCCTATTTGGTATGGGTTGGCTTCTCTGCAGAAGGTATGAAATACATGCAAAAGTGGTGTTGGGAAATATTGACACTGTTGGGGGGATTACAAGAAAGCTGGAGAGGGTCAGGATGAGAGAAATGGGATTGTTCAGCCTGGAGAAGTGAAGGCTTTGGGGTGACCTAATTGTGGCCTTCCAGTACCCAAAGGGATCCTACAAGAAAGATGGAGAGAAACTATTGACAAGGGCCTGAAGTGACAGGACAAGGGGGAATGGCTCATACTGCCAGAGGGCAGAAGAAATTCTTGCCTGTGAGGGTGCTGAGGCACTGGCACAGGTTGCCTAGAGAAGCTGTGACTGCTCCATCCCTGGGATTGTTCCAGGCCAGGTTGGATGGGGCTTGGAGCAACCTGGGCTGATAGAAGGTGTCCCATGGCAGGAGGTGTGACTGGGTGATCTTTAAGGTGCCTTCCAAGCCAAACCATTGTGTGATTCGAGGAGTTTTACTAATTAATGCCCTTATAGCAATGGTGATCTTGGGACCTAACTTTGTATTTTCAATCTCCTCAACGTTTAACAAAATCCTATTTTTCTGGTGTTTCAGTATATGTATCAGAAATATTTAATATTTTTCCACTAGGAATAAACTACACTTGAATGTTACCAGAACTTGTTTTTTTTTCTGATGGGTTTCCCTGCTCAGCAAATAAACTGCATTAGTACACCAAAATATCTCCCTGGCACCCCATAGTTGGTGACTTGGGAGGAGTTTTATGACAACCAGAGACAGTAATTTTAACTGCTGATTTTCTTTGGGAATCCACACAAGGTGCTGATGAGCTCCTCAGCTGACCAGCAGTGGAGTTGGCTGTCAGAAGGTGGCGCATCTTTCCAAGGAAAAGGCTTTTTCCCTACTAATTTGTCCTGTTTGGGAGAGAGGATGTCGCATTTGAGATATGTAAAGCATCATTTCCCAGCTGTATCCACCACTTCCATCTTGCTGGTGTTGTAATTAGTTGCCTGTCAGAATAACTGTGTAATTCGTGACAAACAGGTACTCCCTGTTATGTGGATTCTGAGGGAATCGTGCGGATGCTGCACCGAGGGCTCGGGAACACTTGGATTCCTGTGTGTGACATGAGACAGCATTGCAAAGGACAGTCTGATCATTACTGGGTCGTTGGCATCCATGAAAATCCCCAGCAGCTCAGGTCAGAAAAGTCACAAGGAACTGCTTTGTTTGTCTTGGTTTTCAGTCACTTCTGACTGAGAGAAACTGGAAACAGCTTGTGCTGAAAACAGGTGGTTAGTGAATATGCACAGAAAATGGTTAGTTCACAATCATAATTCTGCATGGATGATTCATCACTGAATTGGTTTAGAAGGAAATCATTAGAGTTTGGTCGTTTGTAACTGGCTAATTGTGGCTTTTTGCCTCGACTAAGAGGTGAGTGTGCACTTTGTCATGAAATCACACATCTCTGAGACAGACACACTCTGCATTTTGGGGGAGAAACTGTATAAAGCTATGATTGCTGTTAGGAATCTGCTTGTGTTCTTGATGGGGTTTGGTGGTTTAGTTGGTTTTTTCTTCTTTTTTAAAGTTTTTGGTGGTATTTTCCCCCCATGCTTTCCCCTTTTGTGTCTTTGAGAAGAATCCCATCCTATAACTAACCTACATCATTAGACATAGATAAATCAGGGCTGTCTGTTGTTATTACTGCATTAATATTAAACTGTGGTCACAAAGATCCATTTTGGATATAAAATTGCTCAAATATTTAGCTGAGAGTTAGACTTTGCTTTATAAAATATGATACTGATAATATCTAAATAATTGTTTCTTCTCTTTTCAATAGTTGCTAAGCTTTATGTGTAGCCTTTTTTATTCAGTGGTCTGTGTCCTTTTCCTACCAGGGCAGAGACCATCAGCTCACATATTTCACTGAAATTTAGGCTCTTTTCTTTGCTAGTCATGCACAGTTGTAGACGTTGGTGGGGAACTGCATTTTATTTAAATTTAGATGACATTCTTTGTAATCCTTTGGGGTTTTTTGAAACAAGGGAGACAATTATATATCATTGCTTCATAGCAATTCACTGTCTGTTTTTTTTCCTCCGAATCATTGTGTTGGCCTCCAAAAAAATTGACCAAAAATGTGCAGGACACATCACATGGATAAGGTGGTCAACTGTGAGTCTGTCATGAATTTTTTTTTCATTCTATTCCCAGAAAGAGTCCTATTCTCTGCAAAGGACATTTTATTCCAAGCCAGCAGCATAATAAAGATAAGAAGGGGGAGGGTTGTTGTAGAAACACCACATGCCTTAATTAAGAGATAGCCAGAACACTAATGCTTCCTGTTCCTTTTTTTCCCCAAGTCTCTGAAGCAGCAGTTTATAAAACCAGACATTTTTGTCAATGCTTTGTTGCTGCTGCAAATACAGTTCTTCCCCAGTCAATAGTTTGCTTAAGTGATTGTTAACAGTGCAAGTTTAAATATAAGGAAACATTAAGTCTAAGCTTTCAGTTGTTCAGTGGTTTCTGATTTTAATAAGTTGCATTTACTCTTTGTAATAGCTGTTAAATCATGTTTTGTGTGAGATGGAGTTCTGTGTCTGTTCTGTGCCACATTTGGAGTGTCTAGTGTGAGCCAGAGCAGCTTGTACCTCACTGGTTTTAACATAACCCAGAAAGCCATTGGAATCCTGGGCTGCATCCAAAGGAGTGCGGTTAGCAGGTCAAAAGAGGTGATTCTTCCCCTCTACTCTGCTGTCGTGAGACCCACCTGGAATACTGCACACAGTTCTGGTGTCCTCAACATAAGAAGGACATGGAACTGTTGGAGCAAGTCCAGAGGAGGCC